CTCATCTTGCATGTCGAAACTATCCCAACTAAGTCGCACTAGATTCACCTTAAAGATCTGCTTGAAACTATAATTAACGCCCTCGTTTTTAGTAAGATGTACTACTGTTCGTCAGTATGGTCTTCCACATCAGCTTGTAATGTTCATAAGCTACAATATGTTCACAATTTTGCCGCCCCCATCATTTGCAATGTAAAGAAGTGCGATCATATTTCATCCACGTTAAGGAATCTATGCTGGTTACCAGTAAAATCAATCCTGTACTATCGTGACGCTACCTTATCATTCAAATGTAAAACGGGCCTAGCGCCTGAATATTTGACATCCGAGCTTGTAACAAGAGGCAACTTATCTGGGCGTATAATGAGGAACTTTCAACAACTCAACATTCCCCTTTTTAAAACTACAACAGGTCAGAGGACCTTTTATTATAGAAGTGTAGCCATCTGGAATAAACTTGACTCAAGATTGAAACTATGTGAAAAACCAGCTTCTTTTAAGAGAGCTTTGAAAAGGCATCTCCTGAATGATTTTTTATTTAAATAACCATTCTATTCTTAAAGTTATAAGTAACTTACATTGTATTTAACGTGTTATTAGTTAGTTTTGTATGTACAGTATCAAGTATGTAAATTATGTAATTGTTCACTGAAAAGCCCCAGACGGGGATGTGTTCAATAAAATGTATATATGTATGTATGTATGTATGTATGTATGTATGTATGTATGAAAATAGTATCTTAACTGCGCGCAATGATGACAAGATTTTTTAGTAAAAGGAAATCCTGGTATTTCATCAGTATCTACATATTAACATAGTTTTTAATATACCTAACTAAAAAGAAAACGGTGGAATTGTAGATTGTCTTTGGGATTGAGGCTCTTTTTCTAAGAGTAGTATGGGTTATGTTGTAAACCTCTCCAAATTTTCGCCCGATAAATTCGCTCCAAATCATCGCCAGGACTCGGTGTTGGTTTCTGCATTTGTTCTTTCGGAAACTGAATAATTTTCAGTTTTCTTTTGTCCTGTTTTTGCTCACTTTTTGTCGATAAACCTTAAAGTGCACAATATCTTGCTACCAAATCGCTGTACCAATCTATTTAACTTATACGATAGATGAATAACACGTATGATGTACGATCCTCGCAGTACGTATCATATGTATCTATAACCGCAGTTCAAAATATATGAACTTCATATATTCATCGTATCAGATGAATAACAATTCAGTTTGGACGTTCAGAAGTAATAAACTGCTGCTACATTTATGCCTAGACGAGGAAATTTCAAAGTGTAAGAGGAAATCAAGCCTAAAAAAAAGATAAATACAATGTAGAAAGGAAATTCGCAAACTATTTTGCGGATTTGCAGATAACCCTCGCATCCCGCCGAAAGAAAATTCCCGAAAGGATTTACTACCGTTCAATCAAATTAAAAAACTCCGTCCTAAGACACGCCCGAAATACATGCATACTTCCATGAGTGATCCTATCATCTTCCATTTTTTAACATGGAACTCGCTTTTTTCAGCCTTGTCAAAGCCTGGAAAAGCTTGCGCAAAAGCTACACGCCTCACACAGTATTGCCTGTTTGAATAAAATAATAACTTTACCGTCTAATTGAAGATGACTCCACAAATTTCATGATCTTCTGCTCATATCAAATTTACCCCCTTTAGGTCCTTGTTTGTCATTTGACTGAGGAAAGAAAACGCGATTGTTAGATATTTGATGAGGTCATTCGTGAAGAAAAGTAGATTACCTACTGCACTGCATGCGGATGACATATTGGCATAATTAATGGACTGGACTCTTAGTCGACAAGTCCGGATTCGAGTCCTTGCTATGTGATGTATCCTTGAGCAAAGCACTACACTCTCCTAATGCATGGCTCTCTTCGCCTATGAGTTTAAATGGATACTTGTAAAATGTCAACCAAAACTTACGAAATTGAAGAGGTAATGTGCAATGAACTAAAATCATATTGGGTACTAGGCAAAAACTAGAACATTGTTCAGACCATACAGTACAACTCCGTGGGAAAGAAATAGAAAGAGTATCAAGCTTTTGTTACCTAGGGATTACACTAGATGAAAATCTCTCGTGGAACGAGCATCTGAAACTGATTTGTAACAAAGTGAGCAAGCTTCTCGGCCTCCTGTCCCGCATACTACCTTTCCTCACCCTAAAAGCTGCTAACTGCTCGTATAATAGTTTAGTACAGCCGATATTTGATTACACTGCTACGGTATAGGGTGGGTTGCATTGTCAATCGGGCGTAGTAACAGCTTGCAACGTCTACAAAACGGAGCAGTACATATAATACAAAGGAAGGCAACGACCCAAGAAGCGTTCAAAATGCTAGGGTGGGTTGATTTAGAAACACAAAGAAAAGCCCACAAATGTATCTTTAGTTAGTTTTTAAATGTCTAAATGACTTAGTTCCTCATATTTCTCGGACTACTTCATGAACATTAGAAATCACACCATTCATACTTACACGACAATAAAAAGGAATGAAATTTACTTACCTAACCCAAAGTTAACGCTAGAGAAAAATACATTTAGATTTTCATGCGCGGCTCTTTTCAATGATTTACCAACACCAGTAAAAGAAGCCACGTCGCTTTCCATTTTTAAGAACTCTCTTAGTTTTCATTTTAGTCATCAGTTTTCTATTAATATAATACTTAAACATACTTTAATTGTTCGTTTATTTATTGTATCAATCTAGAAAAACTGTACTTCATAGATATGTATACTCCTTTATATTCAAATTTTTTTAAACTCCTTGTACATAATTTTAAGGTAATTTTTCAATTTTTCAATTTTTATCACGTACGTTTACGCAGGGCCCCTTTTGATACCAGCCTATGACGGATGGGGCTACCCTGCCTAACTTAAAGATGACTTGACTTGATTCAGTTTTCACTTTATGTTAAGTACACGGTTAGTCTCGTACCCAGACCTTTCGCGGTCAAGCTGTAGGATCTAAGTACGAGATTAGTAAACCGGAATAAGGTACAGCGGTATGGGCCACAGATTTAAGCTTATACTGCAAAGTAGGCTCACGTAAGAAAACCCCCACTTTTTGGTTGTTTAGTGCAATTCACACTTTGATAAACTCTCACTATTGTAAGTTTTCTTTCCCCTCTGTGGACAATTTACTTCGAACAAAGTAAGTCAAAATTCTAACAAATGTAAATATTTCGTGAAAAAAGAAAGTAACTTTTACTTTCCATACGTCTAAGCTGTTTATTATGACTAGATTAAAGCTATAGAAGTGATAGTTTGGGACCACATAGAGCAATTTTAAAATAAGTATTTAACGTACCCAGAGATTGCTTTTGTTCTGCTTTCCTTCTATCCGCTGTGATTGGTCCAGAAATCTCACACCACTCTCTTAACCAGCCAGATGCAAGACTTAAACCAACTGCGACTCAGTCAGTCCGTTTTTCCCGCCATTTTAACGTTAACATTTGTTCTGATTGGCTGTTTTGATTACTTTGNCCCCCCTCCAAGATTGATATGGTTAGTCCACTTGTCCCCCCAGTCCCCTTTTCAAGAAGGAAACTGATGGATAGGAGGGTAATCTCTGCAACACATGTTTCTGCTCAATAGTGTGTATTATTATTATTATTATTATTATTATTATTATTATTATTATTATTATGGCTGTGTCTCACAAGGACTGGGAACTACCGAACTCACGAATTTGATTAGCTGAAATCAATATTGAAAGCGGTCTAGATTTTCCCATCTAGACCGGTATCTAGACCGGTCTAGAAAAAAAAAGGTACAAAGAATATAAAAAATTGGCATATAAGACAGCCATATAATAAACATCTTATTAACCAAACTAGGTCGATCTGTATGGGAGAATCTTGACCTCGGTCGCTGGTACAGACCTCACTACGTTAGGTCTGTACTGGCGACCACGGTCAAGATCATCTCTTACATACATGCATACATACACACTTTATTAACTTTCCTCAAGGGGCTTTTCAAAGACAATGTTATAAAAATAATCCTATTACAATTAAAAAATCCTATTTACAATTAAAGATGTTTTAAAATCTGAATGTTCTAAAAGAAAATTAAAAGTACGCAAATATACAAATAAAATTACATCTTTGAGTAATTTGGTCCTTAAACGTTTTTTAAAAACATTAACGGAGTTGCACAGTTTAGAGGAATTATCCAAAGAGTTCCATAAGTTTACAGTTCTATAGAAAAATGTTCTCTGACCGCTAGCTGTTCTAAAGAATGGAATTTGTAAAAGCTGCGAGTTTCTGGTGCTACGTCGACTAACCTCGGCTCGCTTTATAAATTTTGATGAGAGGTAATCTGGAGCCTGACTAGTCAAGCATCTAAAGGCCATAGTAGCGTTCCGGTAGTAAAGCTGGCTTTGAACTGAAAGCCAATTTAGTTCCTTGCGAATTGGTGTAACATGGTCAAATTTACGCGCACCGCTAACAATGCGGCATGCGAAGTTACAGACCTCCCGCTCGGTTAATAAGAACTAAATATTATTTCCCATTTTGTGCAAAAAATGTCAAGTTTTAAGAGATAGAACTGTTTTTCTACCGCGCGAAGAAAATTTGTTCATGTTTTGTTGTTAGGAGCGTCTGTTGTTGTCATGACGTCACAATTAGATGTCATCAAAATTTTTGTTGGTTTCCATCTACTTTCCTATCGTAAAAACGCTTGGTGACAAGATTTCCGCGCATTCCTATTAAGCATTTTGAATATAGTTCTTAGATAAAGAAAATAATATTACCTTGCCTTTGGGATTACGACTTTCTTTTGGAATGGTATGAGGTTAGACGGAAATCATTCCAAAAATGGTACCTGGATATAAACTGTTACCTCCTAACGAAAGCTACAATTAGTCCCATGTTTATTTGTAGATCATTTCTATATCACCTCCCATTATAAGGCTAGCTAACATCGCCGCATGTTTTTCAATTGAATGTGGTATGTTGAGATTGATAACTTGCTTTAAAAATTTAATTAGTCTTATCGAAAAACCTCTGTCGTGTTAGACATTCCCCTTCACAAGAATCCTGTTTATTTGTTAAATGAATTTGAAAACGCCTCAGTCTTTAAATTTGTTTCCTAAGATTAAAATTTTATCGTATTTTTTTCAATTGTTAATGTCAAAAAAGCCTCCGTCACCGAAGATGGTCTTCTACATGACTTTAACTCAAGAGGCATCAAAAACGTCTGAACCCTAAAAATTTTGTTTACCAGTTTTAGGTCTCAAAAAAATTTCCAGCTTTATCTTTTGCAAACTATATATTACGAACATAACCAAGGGAATAAAGAAACAATTTGAAAGAAACAGTTCTCTAAAGAATTATTCACGCGACCTGCAATGGGTAAACAAAACATATAAACTAAAGGGGTCTATTGTCCGATTAAATAAATTAGTAAACACCTCTTAAATTTCGATTTCGCGAGATTAAAATTACATCTTTCACTCTAATTCTTCCATACTGCCCACATGTTAAAAAAGCTATCATGTCAATCGAAAAAAATCTGCAGTCCAAACATTGTCGAATAGATTTGTTCAGAGCAACTCTTGTTGCTTAGAAAATTTTTTACGTGATCACCAACTTTGATCTGTCACATACAGTTTAAAAAGATGGGAATAGCAGCCACTTGTACCCATTTTAAACCCATTTTGAACTAACTAAATGCCTTATCTTACCTTTGCGATAATTCTTTTATACGATTTCTCTTCGATGAATTTACGCTCTGACCTGAATACTTCCCTCGAGCCTACAACGGATAACACAATACCACAGGTATTATTTCCCCATGTTCTCCACCTGTAAAATTTATTTAAGAATTCAAACGGTTCATTAAATATTACCCAAATCGAAAAATTTTCTCAAGCCCAAACAACTCTAATGTATTTTGCCAAGCAACTGCACGTGTGTGAAACATCCAAAACGCCTATTCATCAGGAATCGCCTTTTATGTATTTGGCAAATTTAACCCTGTTTGAATTTACCGCCAAGCGATGAATTTCCTTCCTCACGCGCCTAAGCTAAGACGGCCCTACTTTCAAAAGTTACAAATAAAATCTTCGATGAAATTTGGTTTTTCGAATTCGAACGAAGATGCCTGTAAGGCACTATTTGATGAAAACGTGTTGGAAACATTTACCCATAAATTCAAAATTTATCTCAACTTCATAGAGGCAGTTGAACGACACCTTAAAATTTGAACTAATTCTCGCTCTTACCTCGTGTTTTATTGTGAACATAATACAACGAGCGACTCCTTGAAGTTTTCGGCTGCATATAGACGTAAGACTTGATTCCTTGACAATTTTTTGTAATTTTCGTCTGAAAAGTGACTTCAGACGACGAGGAACCATAAAATGCAAATGACCTGCTCTTACACGGACAAATTTTGGCTCGCACATAAAAAACCTGGGAGCCAATTTGTTGTAAATTTGCATATCAAGGTTTGCAGAATTGAGATTTAAAGTTGTAAGGACTTCTAGATGGGGTAACCTGCGTTCAGTTCCAGCTAAAAATCATTTATTTAACGCATTAGATTTATTTAAAATCAGCGCTTTGGTACAAGCAACGATTTCCGCGAAAGGTCTGCGAGAAGTCTAGTATTAGCCAAAATCCTTAGGGTCCTTCGCAGGATAGCGTTTTTTGATGGCATCGATCTCCTGGGGTCCCTTCCTTGTAAAAATGTTTACTTCAAGCCAATAACTGCGTGTTGATATTTTTTAAAATTTATCACCGCATCACTATCCTGTTTGATAATGTACTGATTTTGTAAAAAAAACTAGTTGCAGGAGTGAACGGGCTAATACAGCTGTATGCGCTACGCAATAATTAAAACGTTCTTAGTTTAGATTTTTTTGCAAGGTAACGGTGAGGATGTCGCTTTCGCATGTAGCAGATTTTGATATAATTTCTGCGGAAATGACAAATTTCCACTTCGTTTCGTTTCACTGCGCAAATTACAGAGAGCCAAGGTCAGAAACCGAGAGCAGAGCATATTATTCTTCTTTGAGATGGAATCGGCGAGTGTTTGCCGAAGAAGATACACTCAATAGGGGTTGTAGATTATTTTCAATGTTTATAACCTATGTCATGATTCTGCACACGGTTTTAGGAAAGTAAACAGCGGAAAGGTGACTCCAATTGCCTCTGTTTATGCTGACGGAAAATTTCCTTTGTTGTTTATGCCTGATCAGTATTCAAATATGCAGAAATTGATCACACGAACGATAACAAAAACAAACTTGACAAGACCTTTTGTCGGGCGCGCAGTTGATTTTGCAGTAAAAGCTAAACCTGAGAAAAGGTAAGACAGTTTTAGAGCATGGCTGTTGCAAAATAGCTACAGCATTGTACATTATAACTTAGAGTGATATTTTAAAGCACTGATGCTTCTGTTGACATCTTGACGCATAGCAACGTCGCGTTAAATTGGCCAAATTTTGAAATACGCAGATTAACAGCTGAGTCTTGTGCTTGTGGGAAACTTAATCGCTGAGAAATTAAGCGAACGTTAAGGTAAAGCATCGCTAAGATCGCTAAGATCTTGTTGGGAGACGTTCGGTTTAACGGTCGTTCTTGCAGCTAAATGAGTGAGAAAACCTGAACAGGCAGTTGTTTTGATCGACTGCATTGAAGCAACGTACGATTCAACTAACGGGAAT